GCAGTGGCTGTATACAGATCCTGCATAACATGCTTGTACCACAGGTAAACTTAGTTCTTGGTGGAGATGGAGGAGAAACAGACCCAGGAAATGGAAGAATATCCCTCGAGCAGCTGGCATTTACAATGTTATATGTAATAATCCCATGACAATGTGTGCAAATGCACTTTCTCTGAGAAAGATTCAAACAGCAGCAGAGCTATTATTTGTAATTACATGTTCAGTGTAGTAGTACAAAGTGCCTAATTTAGAGTTGTTCATTGTGATTTAGTCTGTTGTATTCCTACAAAGGTTTATTCACTGAAACAAAGCAATGCCAAAAGTTAGTTATTTCCAGCTGTGAGTGTGAGGGTTATCCTCTTCAAAGGGGGAAGCATACTTTCATATCCTTTGCCCATCTGTGAGATACCCACTATCTGCTTACATCAGCTGAAATTAGCTGCTACTTGGGAGTCATAAAAAACTACCTATTACTTTTTCTCTCTTGCACTAAATGTGCTGTGGTTCTTCATATTATCTGAGGAGTAAATTTATGTCAACACATCTATTTCAAGATGGTTCATGGTTCATATTTATACTTTATGCACAATAACCTGGCTATGATGGTTTGGATGCAAAAATATTTCAAATGTCAATCAAGTTGATTGACCATAATGCACCAGCACTTCTGATATCTAATCATCATTTATAAAAGTTTTGTCAGAAATCTGAAGTTCAAGATGGCTTCACCCTGGTCTTGGACAGTCAGACTGCAGATGAGGCTCTCCAAACTCAGTGTGCATTTATCTGTACTCCAGGCATGGTGATTACACCGTGTCCCAAAACAGCTCCAAACACTTCACAGTTTGAATGCCCAGGCTCTCAAGCAGGGGCCCATCCTGGATATACCTTGGCAAGTTCCAAAGTCCATTGGGGCAGTGTTTGCACCTGAAGCACCATTACTGGTGGCATGTCCTGAGAAGTTAACTTTTTAAAAGCAATACATATGATGATGGATCTATGCACATAATTTAAAAATGAAGGCCTCATTTAAATGGAAAGATACTTTAAAAATGTTTTAAATGGAAAAAATGTTGAAAATCTACCCAAGGATGTTATTTTGCTGAAGATATAATACAGTGGACTCAATTTTTAATTTTCTTTCCACATCTCAAAAATTAGAAACTCATAAATGAAACTTCAACAAGCTGAGCATGTCTTTTGTGATCTTTAGAAACAATTTGGCAAGTGGTTTAAGGGCTGCCCTTGGCCATGCCATAAATAGAAAGGAGCAGATGAAGATATTGTCCCTTTAGGCTGACTGAAAGTGCAGGGCTGATGTTACTTTCCACAGAAAGCAAACTACACAGTGATAGTACCAAAAATATATGGCAAACTTTCTCCTTGATTTAAAAGACTCTAGACTCCTTTGTAGCATGGCAAAAATAGAACAAATATATTGATTCTGCTGCCTAATCCTCTGGTCCTAAACTTTTGATTCCTGTAAAGCAGGGCCAGGTGAGTTCTCGGCACCTTCTGCAGACTGAACACTCTCTTATCAAGTTCTGTGGAGCAGAAAATGCTAATCCATTGCTGGCTGGAATATTTTAGGCAGTGGATGAGGAGAGGGAAGACAATAAAAATAGCTTTATTATCCCAGTCCTTGAAGGGTGAAAGTGACATACAGCAGGCTTAAAAATATTCTGTGGATAAATTAAAAAAATTAAATCTTTTTTCTTCCACACCTATTTTTTTGTAACTTCTTCTGGGTTTGCTACACATTTTAAGGTCAGTAAAATGTGACAAGTAATGCCCTTCACAGGAAAGCAAATTCTTTTATACTGGCCAAGTCCAAATTTTCTAGGAATCTTAGGGAACAATCAGACTTTCTCCTGTGTCACATGGACACAGGATGTTAGCAGTGGACTCCTTGTTGCTCCTTCCCCCTCCTTTCTGCTGCCCTTCCCTCCATCAGGTTGAAGGGTAGTGATGACTGTCTTCAGTCACAGACTGATTAATGACATTTCAGATCTGCTCTTTCACTGTATTCATGCAGATTGTATTTACAGTTCTGACCTGGCCTGAATGACCAAGAGCTGTACTCTGCAAATGAATTGTCAGATCCAGTACAGTATTTTAGAAACTTATCATCACAAGACAGTCTTCCTTCCAAATTTATAAACTTAGATGTTAAATCTAGAGATATATACTCTCTAAAAATATAAATGAATCATTTTTATTCGAAAATATCTGCATCTGTTGAGACTGCAGCATTAAGGTTTAGTTTGGAACTGGTCCAGGCAAAATAAATCTTTGCAACTGAAGGATAATATGACAGGAGAGGTAGATCTAAGCATTAGGAACCAAATAGTTCTTTTTCTGTAAATTACACAATTTTAGATCTCATATAAGTTCTTTTTGATCTGGACTTCTCAGTACATTTGGAATTAAACAATATATAAACAAGGGAGGAAATGGAAAAATAGTTAATCTTTGAGATATGTTGTTCAAAAAGGCAAAGTCATAACCCTGTAAAAGATAGAATTAAAATACATTCTTGGAAAAAGAACTAACAGAACTACAAAACTGTGTTTGAAATTTGCATTGTATTTTACTACTTTATCTTTGATTTGAATCCTCATATGTTTGAATTAAAAACGTCTCCATTGCCCGAGTGCATGAAGGTCTGTTGAACACAATATCTATGTTGGTAGAGCCAATACAGCTTGACCCACCCTCTGTGCGTAGGGTAGATGGAATACAACCAGAAAGCACATTAGAACAACACAGCTCAATATTTATTGGATTCCAAGTCCAATCCAGTTCCCTTCTTGCACCAAATATTCTGAAAAACTGAAGTGAAATTGGCTTAAAAACAAATAAAAGGATGCATTGTAAGGCAGAATATTTAACAAATATGAATCTACTGTGCTCAGGACTGAAGTATTATCTTCACATCTGTTTGAATGACATTTTTCCTCTACTCACCCTGAGTTTTAATTCCCATAGGTAGGATTATAATAAAAAGCTGATCAATATAATACATTTATTCAGATCTGGTGGTCTTTAAGGAACAAGAGTGTTCTGAAGCTTACAACAATTTAGATTGCTCAGATTTTATGTGGTCACAGGGGTCATTATGTGCTCATAAAAGCATGTTACCTCATGATACCTATGAAATTAGCATTTGAGTTTCAAGATATTCTTAATATACACAAGAAACACTAGATACATGTTCACTGAAATTACTGTAAAGCAGTAGGAATACACCTTCCACATTTCATGCATCTGTTAGTGTGGGTGGAGTGACAAGACAAAACCAGTAAACCTACACTTTGTACTTTTAATCTGAAACTTTATAAAAAACTCCATGATTTTATCATCAGTATATTTTAACAAAGTGTTTTGCACATTCCTAATTTCAATGCAAATAAACATACTGGTTTACTAGCACCTCTCAATAACTCCAGGAAAGGGCAACACTGATGGACCACCTGATTTCACCTAAATTCAGGGATGGGCACATAGAGATGGTTTTAGGAGCAAAGTGAGAACGCCTGTTCTGCCTCAGTGTTAGACAAGAGCCAAGAGCCATGCCTCCAGCAGGAGGGAAGGGGGTTTCCCTGCCTTTTGCCACACTTGTAACAGAGTCAAGTTAAAACATCTCCTGGATCAAAAGGGAGGCTTTTTTGCCAGTTATCTATGAACGAGACCCATTTAGGTCACAATTTCTGGAAATATTTAATAAGAGAATAACTTAATTGGATAATGTGCCTATGAGTACCTATCCAAATGAAGAGAAGTGACCTACTTTCACTTTTATTTCAGGCCCCAAGGAAGGATCACACTGTTCTCCAACATTAGAGCAGGAGTAACAATCTTTTCTATTCTTGTACCTCCTCACCAGCAAGGAAGCTGTGGGTGCACAGGAACTTGGGAGGGGATGGCTGATCCCACTGGAGCCAAGGGAACTCACAACACACGTCCTCAGGAAAGCATCCTCTGAAATACAGGTGTGATACCCACACCTCTGTGGGCCACACAGGTTCCACAGTGACCCTGCCTGGGTCATCACCATAACCCCCAAATGCTGTGGCCAGGGACGAGGAAGGCCATGCTGAAAGATGCGTTCCTTTGAGGCACATCACATTCAGTTCTGGAAACAGAGGTACCCAAGCCATCGGTGGCTTTGGGAAGTCTTTTTCCCTGGACTTCATTTGAGTTTCAAGATATTCTTAATATACACAAGAAACACTAGTCCCTGGACTGTTCAAAATCTGACTCCTACTGCACATAGGGACTGACCTGAGCAGCTTGAGCTCAGAATTTCTTAGTGGAGCACATGGAATGTAGAGCTGATGCCACGTGCTTTTGTATTCTCTGTGTGTGTTTGGGGGATCCTGGATGTGTCTTTGCACAAACACCTTCCCCAGTTCACTGGGACCAGCAGCCAAAATCCTCCATAAGCACCCACTGGACATGAAGTCTTCATTGTTTCATCCTGTCTGAGCCAAGCATGCAGTTTCTACAGTGTCTGCTATAACCCAAATTAAAGAAAGCAAAAACCTAATCAAACCAGCGAACAGCATTATTTAAGAGAAGAGCCTCTCATTACCCTCCCTTGTGTAGAGGAAGTGTCCAGAGAAATCCTACAGTCTTAGAAGACTCAGACCAGAAATAACACTCTGGTACTTTGACATAGCATATTTTTCTAGACAAGACTTTGCTGTTCATACAATAAATTTCTGCCTTTCTGATGATGATGTACCAATTGCAACGCAGCTGCTTTTCCTAGGATGAGTCTGCTCCCCTGAAGATTTTCCTATTTTCTAAAATAAATTTACTGTTATTTTGATAAGGACAGAAAAATTCTTCACTGTAAAAAGTCTACAGAGGGGAATAAGAAAAGCCTGTGAACATTTTTGAAGGATACATTAAACAAATTACATACACAGATCAGATTTCTGGAAAGAAAAAGTGTTTGTTTGCTTGTCTTCATTTTTCATTCTCTTTTTACCCAGAGAGCTTTGATCATGACAAACTGAATCCAGTTGGATCAGCAGAAAGAAATAAGTCATTAATGAATTTAAATCTTGAGGAAATTCTTCTGGCTTCAAAGGTATTATAGTTGTTGGCAGTGAATGCTCTTATATTGGCCATTATTTGTTATTATTCAAAATTGCTAATTTTTATACATGTTAATCAGATTGCTTTGGATACATGGTAATCAGATCACCATGTATTTTTCAGCAGGAAATTATGAAAGCACTCCAACTCCTGTGGTGGACTGGCTGTAACCAGCCACTGAGAAGAAAGGTCAGACTTACACTGACTTACCTCCTGGGGGAAAAAAGGTAATGGAAAGGGAGAGGAAATGCTGGTAAACAAGTTTGCCTCAATACTCCCTTATTCACCCCCATGAGTGCTTGGACATTCAAGCCCAGATGCTGCCTTTATTCCCTTCAGCAAGCACTGCTACAGCCCCAGAGAAAAGTGCGTAATATTTTATGTGTATAACTCAAAGAAGGAAATTGATTAATGAGGTCTAGAGGAATGCATAGATTTTTTTCCCCTCACAACTCAGTCCTTCTTCTGTTCATTGATTTTTTTTTTCTGTGCAATCAATTTCATTTTGAATTGCTTCTAGCAGTTATTTTGTTGCTACAGGAGTTTCCACAGTTTTTCTAAGCTGATCTCACTATTCAGCTCCTAATGATAAACCCGTGACACTGAAATCACCTTGCTCCAAATATTTTCATTTCTCCCACTTTGTTTTCCTTGTCCCTTGCAGCAGCACTATAAAAACCTCCCATGTACAGTGGTCTTAAAACATTCTGGACTTACTTTATTTACTGAATTTTCCTATACTTTTTTTTTCCCCTAATATATTAGGGGTATAATTAAAAGTGTCATTTCTGTCTCTATGCTACTGACTTCCTTCAACAACACTTTTTACTCTGGTAGTTTTTAAATGATTCTGTCAAAATCTGCCTGAAAGATCTTTTTTTATTCTCCTACCGTTATTCTCCAAAATCTTTCCTAATCTACCCCTACCTTATTTTCAGGTCATACTCTCAATTTATGTGCTCCTAGAGCTGATCTGCTGTTTGCTCATGTTGAGCTGTTCAGCAAGTTTCACTGATCACCTCTGCAGCCTGCTGTTTCCTTCCTTATGTTTATCATGAGCAGAAAGGATTCTAAAAATTTCCCGAGGAGCCTCAGGAGAGAAATGTAAACAATAACTCTCTGCTGCTGTGGAATGCAGCAGGTGCATCTTCCATTGGTCCACGTGGATTGTTTGCACTTGATGACCAAACACAGCCACCTGTATTGAGGCTGTGAGCAGTCACAGGATTTTGTTATGCATTCTATTCTATTCTTGTTCTTTCAAGCCTTCTGATCATTCTTTTCTCTCTGTTCTTTTAGTATAGTTTTAATGTAGTACTTTAGTATAATATATATCATAAGATAATAAATCAGCCTTCTGAGAAAATGGAGTCAAGCCTTGTGTCTCCACACATGGGTTCACCTCAACAGGTTTTCTCTTTTAAAAATTGTTAGCTTTACACCCTATGCTATCAAGTACACATTTTCCTTAGCATCTAGCACTTTTTTTAAAGAAAAGGAAAAAAAGTTTCAGCCTTGAAAATTTATTAAAACATATAAAGGATGGAAATGCCTCTCATTGAACAATCTTTCCATTGATTGTCAGCCTAGACATTTGAAAGTCTTGCAGCTTAGATTACCACTGTGAGTTTTGGCATAGTTAATTTTTCTGTGAATAAGATCTGACAGCCATCAAAACAACCAGGATATCTGCATCACCAGTAAAGGACTGAAAAAATGATCTCTGTTTATTGTGGAGATGTTCTAGAGTATCATACAGTGCTGCCAAAATGTATCTGTGCTGCCCCTTGGCTGGTTGAATTGCACAGCTATTCACTGAATTATCATCCTGCAATTGCCATATCCCACTTCAGTGCCTTAGGAAGAATTTAGTCAGTGTCTCTTCCCACTGGGGGCTCTACATGAATGAAAATGCAAAAGCAAACACTAAAGAATAAAAGGTCAAGTCAGCTAAAGCTGACTCACAGACAGAGGAAAGGGAATGCTAATCCTTGCTTAGGAATTGTCAGTGCATCTCCCTTTCTGCCAGCAGCAATTTTTTAGGCCCTTCTTCAAAAAGGGTGCCCTGAGTATGAAAATCCTCCTGCCATTCTGAATGTCTTTGAACTGAATGCTTGTTGGAGCAGCTCCTCACATGCACAGAACCAGACACTGCACTACAGGCACAGGCACATGAGACTGTCTGGCTCACTGCACACTGTTGATCCAACACGGGACAGACACCCCAAAGGTTTCTGGAAACATCTGGAAACGTGACACAGCTACTATTTTAACCTAGTTACATCCACTACTCTATGTCATTACCAGTTCAGCCAGGAAAAGTAAAAGATGAGTATCTTAGTATTTCCTCAAAATAAACAGCCTATTGAAAAATAATTGTAATTTGGAATTATGAAGATATACAATCAGCTTCTGTACAACGTTGGGATAAAAAGTGGTATCAGTTTGATTAGTGCCAAAATGCAGAGATCAATGATTAGGGCTGCCATGCCAACCTCAAAGAAGACTAGCTGCAGAAACATGCAAGAATAAGTTGGTGGATGCTTTTAGAGAATCTGGCAGATTGCAATTTTTTTGTTCTTGCATGATTTTCTTAATTTCATGTATAATAGGACTGCTTATTTTAATTTAACAAGCAGTTTGTGTGCTGAATTGAATGCTATGTAGTTTTTTCCTAGTGCCCATTTAGGGCAGCTGTCCAGGGCAGCCATGGGTCATTGCAGGAGTGTAGGGTTGGAGACTGAGCAGAACTGAGTGCAGAACCAGTGAGAGAAAATCAAGGAAATCCAGTTAACCAACTTCTAACATTTAAAATGAAAATACCAGTATTGTGTTACTGTGGCAATACTTAAACTCCTCATTATTTTCAGTGAACTTTAAGTTCAGTTCCTTGCAGTCAGGTCATTCCAGTAACATTTATCTCAGCATTTCTATTCCAATAGCTTCCTATTTTAGAGGTTTTATAACTCACCTACCTATAAAAATATACTTCAGACTCACAAAGTACAGTCTCCTTTTCTTGGTATTACTTATGAATATGGCACAATTTGATTTTAACCCAATTCCACATTAGTTCACAGGTGAGTAAGAAAAGCAGAAATCTTTAAGAGGGCATTGAAACAGGATTGATTGTATAGAGAGGGGAAAAAAACAAGACATGGAAAAGAAGAATAAAAAAGAAATAAAATAGGATAGAACAGACAACAAATAAGTGGAAAGGGAAAATCTAGCAAATGAAATGTTGTTCTTTACATTTTCAAATGTGTTTTTCTTCCCCAGACTACTGGGTAGAAGTGACAAGAAACAATTATTTACATGAAGAGAAAGATTGAAAAGTTTGAATTAACATAAAGCCCCTGAGTTGGCTTTTCTTCTCTGGCTTACCAGGATGAAGATGTTGCAGAAGGGTCTGAGATGCCCTTGTGGTGTTTCCTGGGCTGGTACAGAGTCTTTCAAACTGTTTTGCTTCTCTTTGGTCTTCACACCTCCAATCAGATGCAAGTTTCAGGGAAAAGGGAAAGCACTTCCACACTCTGCTCAGTGCAGAGAGGATAAATAAAAGAGGCACTCTGGAAAGCATTTTGAAAACTGACAGTTCAAAGACAGTCAGGATGTTCAAAGCTGCAGAGTCATAAATTAATCATTTTCCATCCAGCACATAAGTGCTATATTTTTACTGTGTTTCTGCATTTGATGTCAGCAATCTACCATATCTGTGAGGCACAGCAGCACACAAGTTCATTCCCCATGATAGTAATCTGACACAATTCACTTTGAATCCTATTGCACATTTTAGAAATATACAAATTTCACAGTTTCTTTGTGTTTCCATTTTGTTTAAACAACTGTGGTGAAAAGAAAATAGTAAGTTGCATTTCCCTCCCCTCCACAAAATACTAATCTTGGTTTTCAAGTTTTTCCTCCATATGTTGGTGTTTGCTTTCCCAATTGTGTAAGCATTCAGACCTATCATGTAGGAATCAAGGCATGCATTTCCTATGGAGTCAATTACATTCCATAAATTTAATCTTTTCTCTCACTCTTTTTAGTAACATATGAGAGAGTTCAGTAGTATTTTTATGCTCAGTGTTAGAGAAAAAAAATAACTTGCTTTGCAGATGTAAAAAGGGGCAATGGCTGGGACAGTTTTATGTGTATTCTTCTACTTGAGGCCAAACAACTGGAACCTTTGTCTGATGTCATGCAGAACAGGGATGTATTCTGATTTAGAATTATATTGCAGTGGGGTGGATTTCTAGAAGATTTGAGCCACAGAGATATCAGTGGCTGCCTAGGGAGCTAAGAGAGCTCAGCAGCTCCAAAACTGAAGAGGGCTGGGGTCTGTAGTATTAAACAGTCAAGCCATTTCATTCATATGAATGTGTGCAATAATAACTGAACTGAGGGTTCTACACTATGACCTGAATCTGAGTCTTAAGTTAGTAAATCCCTCTTTGAAGTCTGTGTTAGAATGTTGTGAGGTTGTTTAGGTTGTTTTTTATTAAAAAAAAAATAAATTAAACCTAGCTGGCATGTGTCATATCTAATAGAAGCACTAGAAAAGTGTTTAACTATTCATTAATAATATGCATACAAATAATTATTCATGCAACTGGCCAGTCTAATTTATAACTGTGGAAAAGCCTGACTTCCTTCCCACATAACTCTAATTCACTCTTCATACTTCTGACAACCATGGCATCAGTCTCATTCTAAATGAAAATGTGTGCATTTCTCATTATTTCGATTACTGCTTTCCATGTTTAATCACAGATAGAAGTCATTAGCTGAGATGCTTAACCTAGCAAAGCAGAAGTCTGAATAAACAAAGACATGGTATATAAATACAAAGAGATTCACTATGCATTTAAACACTTTCTATAGCAAGTAATATCATGGAGCTACAGTCCTGTTTCCCAGAAAAATTTAGAGATTCTGTAGTAATCTTTCTGTCTAGTCTAGAGAGATTAACGATTCATTCGACCATGAAAGTTTGATTAACATTTTCTTTCTTAAACTCCTGTTAAAAAGCCAAGATGTCAACTAGCTAAAGCTGCTGTAAGTTTAGCACATTTGAAAAAAAATGCGGGGGAAAATGTTATGGTAATCTGTGTCTTCAAGAGATTTTAATGTGTCCACACAAACTGTGCTGCTGCAGCCTATTTTTAAGTGGAAATTTAAGACCTAGAACATTCAATAAAGCTCAAATACCGTGAATCTTTTATAT